CGATGGCCGTAGGGGTGTTATTTCGAAGCAAGTTCAAAATTATAACCCGTTGCGAGTTCGAATGAGGTTGAAGTAGGGGTGTTATTTGGAAGCAAGACCAAAATTATAACCCGTTGTGTTATTCCCATTGGGGGACATTACTCGTCGCCGTGTTGTATATGCGTGCATCGCGGCAAGCTCTGGTCCACTTAATTTCGCTTTCATTTGGAGAGTACTGTGCGTTTCCTGGGTGAGTCCCAGCTCGCTCAATTTTGCTTTCATTGGAGAATGTCACATGCTTTATGGGCGAGTCCCAGTTTGCTCAAATTTTCTTTCATCGGAGATCGTTGGTCAAATAATTTTTTAGTTTAACAGTTGTTCTGCACCGATTCGTTTTTGTTATTTGTGATTACGTTGCGGTTTAGTGGGTTCTTCTCGGTCATTACTTGCGATGTGGTATGCTACGGAACCATTTCCGGGGGTGTTTTGGAGACGTTAGTCCCTTACTCGCGTACCCCCGCGAGTGCTCGCATTCCTATTTTGAATCAACAAAAGAGTGAAGATAAATCAAAATGAAATTATCTGTTACCTCGACTTAATGAGCCGATGAAGGGAGGAATGGCGTTGGAGGATTACTTGCTCCGCCTAGTGCTCGCATAGTGGCTTTTGATTTGACAGCCGCATTAAGTTCCGCCATCTAAATGCATCTAGACTTCTTGTGAGTTGGGTTTACCTCTCCCGTTGGGACATCGAGGCCGAGTCCCAGTATTTTCGATATGCGTACATAATAAGGGAAACATGTCATGCTTTGTTTATAGACAATCTAGCATGCGTGATACGAAAATAATGCGGGATATGTCTGACCTCCTAAGAGATCATGCAGTGGGTTATCATCCCTTCCCCAGGGTAGATACAAGGCGAACACGTCGCGTGGGATCGCGGTTATATCTAGCACATAGTGACCGTGGTCCTACTTAAATCGTATGTGTGACTCGCTAAGCCTATCTTTACGGGGAGGCAGGGATCTCGTATAGTCGTCGGTTATGGTTTTTATTTCGTATAGGGGTCTGACCTAGATTGATACGGTTATTTTCAAGAACTTATCTACCCTTTTCAAGTAGGCGTTGCCACTGAAGTGGTGAGGTTGTGACAGCCTGAGAGTAATACTTGACTGGTTCTAGATCTAAAGGAAACTAAAGAATTTAGCTAAGAATTCCCCACAGACGACGCCAAATTGTTTGACCAAAAAAGTGTTAAACTCTTTGATAAAACCAATTGATAATGAGATAGAAGGTAAATCTTAGCTAAATATAATCAACTTTAGATTTAGACATGATGGGAACTAAAATCAAAGGGACCGAGTTTATACAATGTTCTTAAGAAAGATTGCAAGATGCACAACAAGCTTACATCTTTGATATATTCTTCCATATTTGTACAAGCAAAGAAGATAAGGGAGGAATCTCGTTGACAACTGCAGGATTTAACATTATTGATTCATCCATGGGGGATGCCAAGATATGTGATCAGAAATCTGGACTTCTTACTTTTTCTCCCAGGAGTTTTCTCTTCCTTTTCTCTTCCCCCCTCTATTCTTCTGCCTTTTCCGCTTTATATACTATCTATTTCTCCTTTTACTCAATGGTTCTTAACTAGCGTGCCTCCTCATGAATCTTTGATATATTCTTCCATATTTGTATAAGCAAAGAAGATAAGAGAGGAATCTCTTTGACAACTATGGGATTTAACATTATTGATTCATCGATGGGGGCCGCCAAGATCTGTGATCAGAAATCTGGACTTCTTCCTTTTTCTCCCAGGAGTTTTTCTTCCGTTTCTCTTCCCCCCTCTATTCTTCTGCCTTTTCCCCTTTATATACTGTCTATTTCTCCTTTTACTCAATGGTTCTTAACCAACGTGCCTCCTCATGATTGCACCTTTCCTCACTCACCCTAATGTTACTTTCCGTGGTGTGAGCCTTCTGATGACCCTATCTCGGCCACGGCCGTGATACTCGTCGCCATTACGCTTCATGGGCATGACCATGGCTGGGTCGACTTCTTACCACTCCTATTGATAACCATTTGATCAGATTTTGACCCGTACACTAATAAATTTGTAATTGTAGTCGTCTTTAATTTAGTTTAGGAGTCCTACTATAATGTAGTCATTCATAGGTGCAAAGTACTTATTTACTATTCTAAGTGGATAATTGCAATAGATACACTTGGTTTTCTTTACTTTAAGTGCGAATAAATCAGGTATGCAAGATAGACCTCAGTTACAAGCCGACGAGTTGAATGAATTAAGAACTGCAATCATATACTGAGTTTGGTGATACTTTTGTTGGAATATGTAATCAAAATTAGACTATGAATCTTTCTTTTTTACGATAGAAGTATTTGGGACGGCTTGTGCACACTCGATCCACCAACATAAGTATCGGGCAACTTTGACAACCAAGGATTAGGCAGATGGGAAGAAATAACTTAGTTTTTTTGTCTCTGCATTGATATATATCACTTAAAATTCTGTATCCACCTCAGGACTCAAAGTTATTGAATTTTGATAAAGTAAAAATTAAATGGTATATTTTGCTTGCAGGAAGACAAGAATTTGGTTAGGCACATTTGAGACAGCAATCAGCAGAAGATGCAGCAAGAGCATATGATAAAGCAACAAGGCTTATGTGTGGTCCAAGGGCTAGAACCAATTTTCCATACAATTCAAACATGCCACAGACATCTTTCTCAAAGCTTCTCTCAGCTACTTTGACAGCCAAATTGCACAAATATTACATGGCTTCACTTCAAATGGCCAAATACTGAACATTGAAGAAATCTCAAGAGAAATAAAAGATTCGATGGGAGGCTAAGGTTACGAAGTAAGGTCAGCTGGTTAAGGAGTGGCTTGAATCAAATCGTTTGTCTAGAGAGGGTGTAGCGATAACCTTTTATTCTGGCGTAACAGCGGTAGAACGTAACAAAATATTACGGCCGCCTAACATAGGGGACGGAGGTACGGACTGGCAGCAAGGAGTCAATTGAATGATCAAAACATCGGTTCCTCAGCACAAGAACATAGAATCCAATCTTCACATGTTGATGTACTAAAAAATGCACCCATTCAAGAACATATTGCCTATGAAATGAAACAACAAATGGTAGTGCAAAGCCATAAGTATTGACACATGATGTGGAGAGCATACCACAATTTGTGAAGCCACTTGAAGATGATCACATAGAACAAATGATAGAAGAACTGCTGAATCATGGGTCCATTGAGCTTTGCTCTAATGTTACTTCTCAATAAAAAAAAATTATAAAGCAATGTGTTGGGCAAGCTTGCACGCATACCTCGACTATTTCACCAGATACTTGTTGATGTTCCTCCTCAGTGATTGTCTCCTCTCAGGCCTACATTGTGTCTGAACTAGAAAGCTATCCAATTTGCTAATTTAACCCCACTGGCATAAGTACAAGTTTTTTCATGAGCCCAGTGCCGGCTCCAAGCACAAGCCACTAAGGCAAGTGCTTTAGGCCTCCAAATTGGGGGGGCCCATTTTTCCATAATTATTAATATTAGGGACTATATTTATAGGATTTTTTCTTTAAAAAAAAAACAAATATTGAATTAAATTTTGATTAAAAGACAATTTGTGGTATATAAATGAGGTGAATTATGAGGTAAATTAGGTAATAAAATCAACACATTTACCTTAGTATGTGAATGTAGACTTTATTTTGGATTATATTTGACTTACTCAGTAGGATATATAACCCAAATTCTGCTTCTCTATTTGGTTTTTTCTCAGAAAATAAAGTTTACTTTACTCCGTTTCCTTATTCTTCAAAGAAAATTATTATTTTGTCAAAACTGAAAGCCTGAGGTGTGTCGGACAATGTATTGCATATTCTTTTTGTTCATTCCGAAAGCGCAACAAGCAAATTGAAGCAGTGAATCATCAACATCTAGAACATGTTCTATTGTTTTAGTTTTTTATTATATTTATTTAAATCTTGAATATTCCTTAAAACATAATAATCATTCAGGTATTGTTGGCTAAGACTTACTTTTTACATTAAAAGTGATCAGAAATATAGTAGTAGTGGAATATAATATTTTAATTGATATACTTAATCAGATAAAATACTGAATTCTTTTTCAAATACCTGTATTGCTTATAGAATAATGTTAACAGTTCTTTAGATGAAAGACGTTTTCAAAAATAAAATTGATAAATGTTATTTAAAATCAACAATGTCTCAAGAAAGATTAAACAAACTGACTAATAATTAATTATTTTGCAACTCAAAATGTTAGAAAAATAATCTTTCAAATAAAGTTATATAAGAAGTATTTTAAAAAAAAATTAAGGCCTCCTTTTAAAGTTTCGGTTTAGACTACCGAATATGTTGAGCCGCCCTTGCATGAGCCTCTCTGTCTAAAATCTATACATCATTAGTAGGTAGCCCGTTTCTTTGGTTCCTAGAGTTGTTGCTTTAAGAGAACCTTCTATCAGTTGTAAATGATGTATATCCAGTGTACTCTACTCAACGCCACCCTTGTGGTAGAAAAAAAATGTTACTGCATTATTATCATAAGCATTACATATGTATTCCAGAGCACTTCTTTCTTTATTACGGCATATTACATTTATGAAAAATTTCGACTAAATACATATGCTACCTCCTAAACTTATCCGTTTCTCTCATTTTGACACAAGAATGTGGACTTGTTCCTATTAAACATTTAAAATAAATATACCTATTATACACTTTTTATTGACATGGCATGGTGTGTATAATACACCCAAAACTTCTGCCACTAGTCAACATATGACAAATTTGATTCATTTTGCAAAGTTCAAACAAACTTGGACCTTTCTTAATAAAAGAAAATTTACCTGAGAGGTCTTAGTATAAAACTTCATAACCTAGGAGGAGCAAAATGCAACCCCATCAAACTAGACAGGAGGCTTTTGTAATACCCAAAAACATGAATGGCGCCCTTATAATTCCATCTAAATACCCTAAAAACCCCTCAAAACCTCTTCAAATTTTCAGTTAGGACTCTATGTTCATGGCGGCATTTCTTCGAGCATCTCGTAGATCACTTCTTTCGTTTCAATTTTCTCACGGCCAACATTCCTCTCTCCATTATAGCAAATTCATCTCTCAATTTTCCAGGTCTCACGCATCAGAGGCAACCCAAAAATCACCATTTGAATCAAACATACTCAGAATCCTTCGCAATGAAGTCAATTATCAGTTGGATTACGCCCCTCCCCACCCGGTAACTCTTCAACCTCGCAGTTTATCTATTGTTCCTTTCTGGAATATTTAGGCTAAGTATCCTACTTTTTGGGTTTCTTAGTTATGACACAATGTTTTTAAAACAACATTTTGGGAACATTTATATTAGGTTTGCAAGGGTACTTAAGTTTGGTTGGAGATTATAGGAGAGTGTAGTGAGGTTCAAATTCTAGTGGAGACAAGAAACACTAGGTGATTTCTTCTCATTTGTCCAATCCTGGGAAAGTTACCTAGTGTATGGGTCAAAATCTATCTTCAGAATACTTTAAAATAAAATGGAATTGGTGAAACGCTCCCAGGCCGTCGCGTGTCGAAGTGATCTAAGAAATGGTGAAGGCCGTGGTCGAAAAGTCAGCAAGGGCTGAAGCCGAGGAGTCATGAAGGATCGAGGCCGAGGTCGGGTACCCTTGGCAAAATTATAACTGATAGCTTCAAGATAGGATATGAAAGAGAATATTCTAGTGGATATTCTCTGCTCTTGTATAGAAATAGACTTCATTTGTAAAAGATACTTTGACTTTAGAGACAGAAAATTGGGTCTCATCACAAGCACACAAAAATAACCTTTTCACTAAGATTCTTGCTTACACTTTTCCACTGGATCCGAGATATCTGGGGCGCTTATTCATCATTCTCGATTGTCGGAAAGAATATTTATTACTTTCATCCTTTCTTGTTGTTCTTCACTATTTAATGCCACATTACTTCTATTTTGGTTCTTAACTATTGACTGTGGTGTACCGTCATAGCTTTTGGAACAGATCTACGGGCTATTTATTGCACTACAGGGAATTTCTTTTTAGGATATTATTATTAACTAAGATTAACCCTCATTTGTATAAATTTAATTAGTTGAATCAAGATCTATACTTTTGGTCAAACAACTAGTACCTGTGCTGGTGGGAGGCAGCGGGTAGCCAATGGAATTAGTTGAAGGTGCGCAAGCTGGTCCGGACACCACAATCATAAAAAAAAAAAAAAAAATGTAGGAGAGAGTAGTGATAAGTGTGAGACTTAAAGGATCCCCTTGTCCTGAAGACAAAAAATTGAATGGATGAATGGTACTGGTCCAAATGGAGCGAAACAGATATAGAGGATTCAATATAGCTGGCTCCAGCTAGTTCGTATTATGGAATAGTAACAGTAGTTGTAGTAGTAGTATTATTATCTCTTCAGAGCAGAAGAGAGAAATGGAGATGTTCTTACTGGAGAATAAGACTTGCATGTACAAAAGGCTTAGAGCAGCACCATACTTGTAAAAGTAGCTACAGGGGTAGAGCGGCCACTTTGACATGCTTTTGGTTCTATAAGCTTGTCTATATATGTGTTAGAATGTCTTCAGATAGGTGCATATCTTTGATATGTCTAAGCTGCTTCAATCATCCGTATGCTTGGATGTATGTCTTGAGTCATGATAATGCAGATACAATTCACTAATCCTTATGGAGAAATAAATTAGTATAACTGACTAGTCTTTTCTATGGTGTAATTGGTTGCTCCTGCAGTTGAATCGTTTATCAAGAAAGCAGAAGGTTCCTTTAATATGAACGGACTGCAGATCCTAATTTTTCCATCCTTTTGCTTATTGTAATCCAAAGAAAAAATGATAACGAGAACTAGAGAAATCATGTATTTCTTTTGAACCAATTTGCTTTTGCTATTCTGCAGTGATTAGTTATGCTTTAAGAATCTCTATTAGCTTACCTGTCTGTCGTTTTGTAGTTTGTGGATAGGCAAGTGTAACTTAGCTCTGACATTTCTTTAAGCCATTTTAAATGTTTGACTGTGGTGATATTTGCACCCTATTGTTTCTCACATTTTATGTTGGATTTCTCCAGCCTGTTACAAAGTTTAACACATTCATGGTTGAAGATCGGCCAGGCGAACAGTGGATTACCTTGAGGAGAAAATTCGGCAATGATGAACATATCAAAATCGAGGCAACGATGTTTGATGGATCAATTACTGTTCCAAAAACAAGTGATGAAAATATTGGGGAAGATGTGCGGCTTCACATAAGTGTGCTAGTTGACATATGGAAGGGTGAAGGTAGTGAGTTCTTGGAGTTTGTCTGTTCATCCTGGCCAAATTCCTTAGAAATTCAGAAAGTATACATACTCAGAAGCGATGGTTCTCCAGCTCAGCCTTATATGGGGCCCAATGTTAGGTATGATACATCTTCTTACTTTATTATATAGTGTATGTGCTACACGAAAAATTTTATTTGTGTCTCACACAACTGACACTAGTTGTATGAGGCCTCTTTTTTGTCTCACAAGTGTGTGGTCCCAAAATTTTGTGGACCCAATTGTGTAAGATATGGGTACACAAATATGTCAGATAAAAAGAGGCCTCACACAACTATCGTAAGTTGTGTGAGACTCAAAATAAAATCACTCGTGCTACACTCAGACTGATCTATTTCACTCATTTAAAAAGGGAAAATCCCAAAAAAAGGGAAGAAAAAGAGTTGAAATCTCTTTCTTTTCTTCTTGTTAATATTTTCTATCTAAATTTCTGCTTGCAAGGCCTTAAACACTGTTTCATGTTTAAGGACAGCTATCAACTGTCTTGAATCAGATCATCCTAGTAGCCTGCTACACTCTTCTTTAGAAAATAAAATAAAAAGGGAAAGCTGTGTCTAAAGTTATTTTGGGTAACTGCTCTAGTATGAGAAGTGTGGACTATGTTGAACATCATATTGTTGCACTTTTCTCTGGACATCCTCTACCTATCTATGTCGATCAAAATTAGTAGTAGAACTTCATTCTAATAAATTGTCTCTGTTAATTATTTTGTTGCAGTTTCTTATGGTTGTGCGTGTCTTTTTGTTATTTTTATATATTTGTTTTGTGTTATTTCAGGGATTTGGACAGTGGCTTCCGAGATGGCCTAAATGAATTCCTAAAGACGAGAGGCATAAATGATGAACTTTCTGCATTCCTACATGAGTTTATGATGAATAAGGATAGAACTGAAGCAATTGAATGGTTGAGAAAAATCCAGTCTTTTATCGAAAATTAGACACGTCTCTGCTCTCTTAAATTCTCAATAAAATTGATATATTGTAACTTATGATTAGCTTTGCTGTATTTTTCGCATGAGATTTCTAGTCTTATTCTGACTTTCGCATTAACCTGTGCATCAGTTAAAACTTTGTAGGCATAAACGATGGGGTTATGACTAGGTAATAAAGAAGATGGACTCGAGGTTTTCCCCTCCAGTGAGTCCAATGTGATTAGTTTAAAATAAGTTAAATGTATTCTCTGCCTGAAGAGTGGTTACAAATAGGCTCCTGCTCATGGATTTGGAGATTATGAGGAAGCTATGAAAGAGGGTTGGGTATGGTCTTTCTAGGATCAAGTGGGCAGCTTTGACTAAGTTGGGGATAAGCTGCTGGCTATGGAAGCATGGAGGAGCAGTGGGGACGCGAGTGGTATGTGGACCGCGACTGCGAGTTGCATTAGGGAGGCTGCTAGGGATTGGGGGTCTCGAAGGGCCCTTATGGTGGCCGCAAAGGGGATTAGTGGTGGAGCACTGAGGTCCAAGGTAAAGTGGAAGCCAAGAAAGTGGCTTATTTAAAGCTTGTGGAAAGCATGGACGAGGAGGAGAGGAGGATGAATAGGGAGCAGTATGAGGTGGCTAAGAAGGAAGCAAAGTTAGCAGTTTGAGCACTTGTATGAAGAACTTGGAGGCAAGGGAGGGGACAAGAAGCTATACAGGTTAGACGAGGTGCGAAAGAAGAAGGCACGTGACCTGGACCAAGTGAAGTGCATCAAGGATGAGGAAGGTAAAGTGTTGTTGGCCGAGGCTCTGATTCGACAAAGATGGCAGACGTGCTTCCATAAACTCCTGAACCAAGAAAGGGATAGGAACATTGTGCTGGGTGACATTGAAAACTCTGAGAGCCGTCGAGACTTTGGGTATTGCCTGTGAGGCCCCTCAAAAAAAAATCCCTATTAGTCCGAGACCACAAGCACACTCACAGGTCGCTTAAGTGTCATCTTGCTTTTCACGAGGGGTTAAGGACTGTAAAAAACTTAGATGATCATGATAATACGTTTAGGAGTTGTATTGGATACTGTTGAGGGCCTAAGTAGATACCTAGGACTAAGCCATGTTGGGAACTATGCAATGGGCTAAAGTTTCAGGAAAAATTCGCACAAGGTCCGACTTCAAGCGCATGTTGCTGCCAAAATATAAAGACTTAAGAGGTGATCTACCTATCAAACTAAAGCGCTTTGAGTCTAGTTTCCAACGCATCAAACCATTCCTCATTTGGATATGTATACAGAAAGTTATGGCCATTTTACCAGACCTATTTCATATGTGCGCCCAGGTGCGCGACCTCGCTTATTTGGGAGTTTCTGCCTTGTGTGCGCGGCCAGATGCGCGGCCACTTGCCCAGGTGCAGCGCCGCGCACGTAGGAGACATATAAATACCCCCAAGGCCGGGTAGGGAGAGTGTCTAAGTCATTTCTTTGAGTTAGGGCTTGCTCTATCAATGGGAATCCGTCCCATGCTTCCCTCCCATGAACCAAGGTAATGTTTTTGGAGTATTTTGAGTTGATTATTACTCCTAAACACTTATATTAACAAGGATTAATTTTGAAGATCCATAGATTTTCATTCAAATCCCCAAATTGGTCAAGAATACTACAAGTGGGCATTCTCTAGAGTTTTACTACAAGAGGTATGTCTACCATCTCTAACTACTCTATGATGATTATTTATGTATGAAATATATATTGGGACTTATGGGATTGTGATTAGAAGCCATAAGTGCCTAACCTAGGTTGTGTGGGTGTTGTAGAGATTGTGAAATGGATTAATTAAGGAGATTGATGGTTTGGGTGTGAATTGTCGGGCATGCATGTGCTAATGGAAGTTGTGGATGGCCTAGAGACGATGGCTAGGTGAATCATTGGTATGGAAGGCGGTTGTTAGGTGAAGAAATTCCATTGAAGGAGGTTGTAGAAAGATATGCATATTAGATGTCTGATAAAAAATATAAATGACTTAAAGTATAGAAATCTTACTAATATAGTTACAAATGTGTTGCATTATTATAGATTGAAGTCGTTTAGTGTGGTGGACGCCGTAGTATTATTAAGGGGCGAATTTCAGGTATGTATGGCTAAATCCCCCTTCTTCTAAGAAATTGAACCCCTTTTTGTCCATGCAATTGGTGTAAGTCCCAAAATTGATTGATGTAGAAATTGTTATTCCAAATATGCTTGTGTTGCAAGAATATATGTGCAATATATATATTTCAATGTTTCCCATTATGCTATCTTGTCATTTGAGGATGTGTTAAAGATATGGAATATGTGCTAAAATGCCTAGACTTCCAGGCGAGTTTGAATAAAGTTTGTTATGCCAAAGTATGTGAAGGCCTCTCCTTACCTATGATCTGTAATTGCTCTCGTGTGTACTCAATATCTTGATTTGAAAGGCTTGTTTGTTGAAAATGATAATAATGTGAAATGTAGGAAAGAACTTGCATTATGAAATACGGCCAAGAGACAAGGTATGATATAACTATTGTGGTCACTAGTGCCGATGAAATGATATATGTGAAAGAAATATGAAATGAAAGGATCGATGGAAAACGGTAATGTCTTGGCTGAGACGGCCTAGCCGATCGGGCCGTGATTGGACGCCATGTCGCAGACATGGTGGTACTGTGCTAGAAACTGAAATTTAAAATTGAAACTGGAATTGTGATTGTGGTGAATGTCCCAAATGGGACGACCGTCGGACTCTGTATAAAAGTACGGTGATATTGTGAATGATGAGGTATTGATACTAATGATGTCCTAATTTAAAGCTATGAAAATCACTTGAAAGCTTATGTGATCCTTAATTTGATGTTGTAGTGTTGTTTAAGGTTTCCATTGATTCCATGAATATTTCTTCTTGTATTATTGTTCTTTCTAATGAGATGGTGTTTAGTTATACATACTAGTTCTATTTGACAGTATTAACGTCCCTTTTGCCGGGGGCGCTACATCTTTAAATGGATGTAGGTGGCTCCATAGTAGATAGTGTTGATCGCAGCTAGTGGTGCATCATCATCATCTTCCCAGCAGACTTGGCGAGCCCCATTTCTTCCTGGGGTCATATAGCACATCTTTTGTTTATATGATTGCCACGTTTTGAGGTATAGTCGGGGCTTTGTTGCCGGTGTTGTTATGACTCTCTTTTTGTATCTTTAGAGGCTCCATAGACACTATGCGGGTTGTATATGGGTATTGGAAGGGTCAGTGGATTATGTTGTGTTTTGGACCCTTGTTCCTTCAAATTGAAAAGTGTATGTAATTTTGAAAAACTTACCAATGATGTAACAAATGAATCGATTTGGAAAATTTTTAAGAAGCCTTCCTGTTGAATAATCAATAATAACCTGTTTTCTTGATCATAATGAGTTGGGTAGGTAGTGTCTAATAGGCTTGCTCAGTCGGGTTCACTCGGTTGAGCGCTGGTCGCGCCTCCCGAGGTTGGGGCGTGACAAACTTGGTATCAGAGCCTAAGGTTTTAAAGTGTTCTAGGATGTCTCTATAATACCCCATACATTCGGACTAGGTGTGGATATGTTAAATGGGTATTAATCTGATATTTTAGACATATGAAGTCCTAGCGGAATGAGTATGGGTGAAAATAGTTATTTTAGAATCAAAACGAAGAGTGAGGTGTACAAGATTCGATAAAATCTACTAAGTTTACAAAAGGTCAGTCTTGCAACAAGATTTTGGTGAACATGTGTAAGGTATTTGGGAAAACTCAAAACACAAAAGTTGTAGGCTTTTGAAATATCTTTCCAAAGATATATTGTGGATCCCAAACGGATCTTTGTGAAAAATGTTACGCGCGTTTTACAGAACAGTGCGCAATATGCGCGCCCCGTGCGCGGCCGCGCACTTGTGGCAGTGTTACTGCTATTTTGCGTGGTCAGGTGCGCGGTCAGGCCTTCAGGTGCGCGGGGGCGCACTTGGGGGTCAATTTAAAGCCCTACTTCGTCCCCCACAGCCCAAAACACAAAAACTTGCTCTAGAAAGGGGAGCTCTCAAAAACCTAACTCCTTAAGGGCCCCTCCACCATCCAAGGTAAGGTCTAATGGTGATTCTAAGTTAATTTCAATTTCCCAACATCTTATTAACATGGGTAGACCCTCCATATCACTAGATATTTGATTGGGACATCATTGTTGAGAGAAGGAACTCTAGAACTCGAATTCAAGGGGATTGAACTTCAAAAAGGTAATGTCTTCACCCTCTAATTGATTCTAGCATTGGATAAATGATTATAGAGTCTAGTTCATGAGATATGAGTTGATGGGTTTGATAGAAAAGCATGAACGGTTATAGGTTTGGGGTGTTGATTGTTGATTATAGGTTAAGGGTGTTGTTTACCTTATGGGTGATAAAGAATGATGTTGATTATAACCATTTGAGACTTTAGAATTTATCTAGGAGCAAGAGAATGGGTTATTGGGTGTAGATACACCATTAATATGGACTATGAAGCTTTATGCCACTAAGTGTTTGAGAAAATGCCCAAGTAACCAAAACATGAGAATTATTGCTAATATGGAATCCTTTTGACTTGTATTGATATAGATTAAAGTTGAAAGGGTTGGCGAATGTTGTATTAGACTCAAAAGCAGGAAGTTAAGGTATGTGAGGCTAACTCTCTATGTTTGGGAATGTTAATGATTCTCCCTACACTATGTTTCTTTACCATGTTACTAATTGCCTCAGAAATATAGTTTAGCCTAGTTCCTTGAATAGTTGTAGTACTTCTATTCTCTAGCTTCATAACTCGTTCATGACTTTCATTCTGAACGTTGTGAGCTCAGTGCGTATTCAATATAGACTTGGGTTTGGTTCCCCCAAGTCTTAGTATAGATTACTCAGTATGCCATAAACAATTGAAGTTTCAGTGTTCATAATCAGTTCAAGAATACATATCTCGGTCTAGTCCTATTCAGTATTCCAGTATTATGTAACTCAGTGTGATCCAGTATTCCAGTATCATGTAACTCAGTGTGATTCAGTATTTCACTATCATGTATTGCAGTATGATTCTCTGTTCCTGATTTTAAATTCCTGAATGTTGAACACCTGTATTTGGGCC